CGCCCTGCCGGCACGCCGCCTCCCGCTCAACCGCATCGTCCACCCGCAATTTCGTATCACGCCCGCCGCATCAACATTTCCTCTATCGCATCATCATCGCGCGTCCTATCGGACGCTTATGCTTTTCCCTTCTCTCATATGGACATGGCTATTCCATGCACTCCCTATTCCTCATTGGTATCATATGAGAACCTGGCACAGGTTCTGAAGGGGGAGAATGTAACGGATCGTTCATTACCTTATCTTATCTACATAGTTAATCTACATCTTGTATCTAAATCTGGATCGTCATGGTGATCGGCGCTGATCCATCTGGATCCGCGCGACGTGGCGAAGGCTTCTCAGCCTTTCACCACGTCCACCATAGTATACGCCCTCTCAATCTAGAGATTGGTTCAGTGTACTTTGGACTTGTGTGAATCAGGCGACACCCGTATCATTACAGATATGGTGATGAGACGAAGGATCCGTACCGGCTCCGATGTCGAGGACGACTCCGTAACAATTGGCCGGGAGCAGCTCTTCCTTGACGGTACGAGCGTTGCCATCAACCCCATCTCCGAACAGCCGCCACACATAGGCCATGAAGATGCGCGAGACTTCATGGGGTCGGAAAACGAGGATAGGATCCCTCAGGATCGCTACCAGGGTAGGCACGAAGGCCGTTTGGATCGCGGCTCTGACGTCCTCCAGAAGTCCGAAGGTTGCGAAAAATTTCATGGGGGTAGAAGCGGGGTGGAGGAAGGGGAGAGAAACCGCGGCGTCTGCTCTGTTCTAGCCTAGGAATATACGTGGTCTCTGCAGTCACAACATGGTGTCCTGTGACAACGACCGCCAGTTCGTCCATGGGAAAACACTGTCGGGATGACCGAGATTGTGTGTTGACCAATCGTGAGGTCAAGTCGGGCGCGCGCCGTGCCCACGCTGACAAATGCGAGACCGAATTGCCGGCTCAAAAGGTGTGGTTAACCTAGTTTCCCACCACAGGATGCCGCACTGCATGGCGCTGGCATACCCACAGACAAGAACCCCATACTGCCTTGATCGGCATGCTGTTCCACCATATATACATACGTTCATCTCGCAGCTTTTTAGAGATGAGATGAGAAATAGGATAGGATTTGAACCAGGCCGTAACGAAAGGATGGCACAGAGAATCAACGTGCCCAGAGCGAGATACACATCTTGCACACCAGAACTCGCAGCCCCTTCCTAGATGCAACCCTGCAAACCCCTTCACGTCGCCCTCGGACCCTTGCCCTCCTCAAACGCCTGCGCCCTCGTCGGCGTCGGCGGGAACGCAAACGACCCCCCGATCGGACTCCACCCTTCATCGCCCCTGTCCTCCGACCGAATGAGGCTCGCGATGCTCGCCGTATGCCTATGGCTCTTCCTCGTCGGCGACGCCCGCCCGCCCGACTTCACCAGCGGCACGGAAGACGGCGGGCCGTTGGGCACGACCGGCGAGCGGTACGTGATGTCCATCTCCGAGTCGCTCTCGCGATCAGAGAGCTCCTCGAGGTCGAACGCCTCCGCGTCGCGCATGATTGCGCCGTTGCCGCGCCCTCCGCGCCCCCCACGCCCGCGCGGCTCCTCGAGGTCGTAGATCTCGTACTTGGAGCGGTACGTCGGTGCGCCGAGCCCGATCGGGGAGGCGGTCGCCGCGGCAGGGCTCTTAAGCTCCTCGGGCATCATGAGGTAGAAGAAGGCGACCGCGAGGCAGGACCCGCCGACGACATCGACGAGGTAGTGGTGCGTGAGGTACATCGTCGCCCAGTAGAGCACCGCCGCGTAGCCAAAGACCCATTTGGTGGTCTGTGGGAAGAAGTGCGACATGAAGAGTGCCTCCATCGTTGCGGATGCGGCGTGGAGGGAGGGGAACGCGCCGAAGACGAGCGGAGAGTTGGAGAATGCAGCCGTGTATCCGCTGGAGTGGAAGAGCCGGTCGATCCGCGCAAGACCGCCGGGAGAGCCCCGAATCGTATAGTCGGCGGGCGTGAGGCCGTAAATGAGCTCGTACCATGGTGCGGCGCACGGGAAGACGATTTGGATGAGCACTCCTGTCAGGTTCATGAAGCCGAACGCGCGAGACCAGTAGTGAAGGGACTCCTTGGGACGGAACAGCCAGAGGAACGCGGCGACGATGAACGGAATGACGTAGTGGCCGACACCGTACGGTACCCATGCGAGTAGGTCGAGAATTGGATGGGTGAACCGCGTGAGGATGTCGGACACGTTCGCACCATACAGCACCGACTCCAGCGTCGGCAGCAAGACGACCGATGGTGTTGGGCGGTACTCCTTCGGGATGTATTTCGATGAGAAGAAGCTGAGAAGGTAGAGAAAGATGGGGGTTGCTGGCACGAAGAACTGTGACGTTAGAGGTATGAGAACTGCAAACGTGTATAGCAGGGGTATCATCAACTTGAGGATGATGGGCACGTCCATGATGTATAGCCAGAATGCTGCGAGGGCGATGTGGAAGAAGTACGCCGTATCGGCGAAGGTGAAGTTATACTGTCGTAAACGATGGATCGTATCGCTTGGAGAGAGCGACTTGTCTAACCGTCCAACGGCTGCGACGAACGCTGTGACTACTCGCCTCAAAGGCGGCGAAGCTGCAATACGAAAAGACATAGCAGACCTAGCAATAGTATGTGGAAGTCAGTTCAGATTCGCAAAGGGTAAGAATGCATAAGAGTATAAGGAGAATCAGGACATGTATCTTGCGCCCAATCGCTCGTAGCTGGCACATGTGACAAGCAAGCGCTTCCATGAGGTACCATGAGGTATTGCCCTGCAAGGTCGCAGATATCGTCGGGCCCAGTGTGGCTTCGAAATGAGGATTGAGAGGTGTAGTTTCGCACTGCACTGAGCCACCTCCCAAACAAGGTCTCGCAATAGGCGTGATTCATATATTCTCTCCGGCTACTCTAGAGCCCTTGCAGCCGCAGTCAGACTGCTCAAGGGCCGGAGGGTAGAGACCAACTTTCGCCTTAATTGGGCAGGTAGTTAGGCGCCCATTGTATAAGCCGGCTGTACGTACTGGAGCGTCAACACACCCGTGAATTCTTGTCCGCCATTCTTCCTTGCATACAGTTGGGGAGTGCTCCACAACGCGAGAATGTCTCACAACGAGCCCGCCCAAAGCTGCGCTACTCACGGACTACAAGTCGGACGTGTGTCACGACTTTGGCACACATGTTCCATGTGCGTAATGGACAAGCTCTCCTCCCGCACAATAGGTAGGATCAAAATAGCCATATTTGTGCACGTACCTCAACCGTAGTGCCGATCCCAACCAATGTAGTAGCCCAAGGTGCCTTGAACAGCGGTCCCGATGCGTAAGCCTTGTCGAACGGAAGAACGAGATATATGCCGCCGGACAGAAGCACGCAGCGCAGGTGCAGGAAGTCAACCGCGACTGTGAGAGCCGTATAGCGACGACCGTCACCAAGAGAGACGATGGGCAGACCGGTGAAGCAGGTGGACGGAGGAGGGAAGAGAATGGGCGGGGCAGGCTCAGGCGCGCGTCGGATCGGCCGTGTCCGACTTCGGCAGTAGTGTTGCCGCCAAGCCAGCTAAGCTAAGCTAAGCTGACGAGCTGGATCGCGCTGGATCACCAAGCCGGAGCAAGCTAAGCCGAGATCCGGCTAGCTGGGCGCCAACTCCCTGGCCAGGCCCCAGCCACAGCTTGACTTGCAAGCTCACATTCCAGATATGGCAAGACATTGCATGCGCCGACAGCGAGCTGGGCATCATCGTTCCTAGTGTAGTAACAACATGGTATACATGCACAGAACATAACACCATGTATGCATAAGTTCAACATATCTCCCTGAGGAGGTGTGAGCTGCCAAAACATGTCTGAAGGCCACAACGGAATCACTGAGTATGCATGTCAGAAATAGTCAACACCAGTAATCCAGTGTGAACCTGTAGGCTTTTCTATTCGACTAAATAGAGCGACACATTGTTCAACNGTTCAGTAACTGTGTTGGATT